ATCCACATAGTTACTTCCTTTCAATTTTGCAAGTGATGAGAGAAACTCAAGCAGCTATAAAAAGGGAACTTAATCAGCCTTTTTACCGCACTGAACATAAATGGGCACCAGCAGCCTTTGGTGGGCGACATGCGTGTCCTCGCCAGCTGGTGTGTATACACATGTGTAACCTCACGGTGTATACTTATGTCCAGACCTGTCTGTTTGTACCTCAGAGGTGTGCAGCTTATTGTGCCATTTACACCCCAATAAAGCGCTGGTTTACCCGCAGTGAGAAAGCTAAGCCGCTGAACTGTCTCATCCCCATGAGGACACTGATTAGCCTTCTAGCAAATATTTGTTGAACTGAATGGATTTGATGTGTTTGTGGATTTACTCAGCAAATATTTATTAAGTCTCAGTGTGTACACGACCAGGGCGGCCCCTCATTTACATTTCGTGAAATTGCAGGACACCAGCGGGCTCTCAAAATCTTAATAGATCCAGTAAATGTTGCTTTTCAGGGATAAACCATCCCATTTACTGGACGGCTTCATAATCTCTAATCTGGCTTAATTCCCACCTGCTGTGTAAAATAGACCCTAAGACCGCTAAATGGTGTCCAGAAAAAAAATTTATGAAGCCGTGAGTTGCAAAGGGCTAGCAAGAAGAGCCTCCTCTGGCCCAACCCCCTTCACAGCCCTCAGAGCAGATCCCCACCGTGTCCCTGCCTCCAGCGCAGGTGCCGCCACAGCTCCCAGGCCCTAGTGCTCCTTTTTCAGGGCCAAAACGACCCCCACCCTACCAGCCCTGCCACCAGGGGCTTTGCTCCTCCTGGAAGCCACATACGTTGTCACCGTCCCTCAGGGTGCAGAGCTCCCCACTGTCCAGAGCCATCACAGTTCTTAGTACCCAACCTACGCCCGCAAGGGTCCCGTGCTGTGCCCAGGGACTGCAACGTGCCAGATCTGGGCCCAGCCTAAAGTTGCCTCTGCTGTCGGCTCCCCCTTCTCCCTGCCTGCGTGCACCAGATCCTCCCATGCATTCCTGAGTGCTCCGCTGGCCTTGCACCAGGAGGCCAAGCTGTGACAGGGGCGTTCAGTCAACGGTGCAGTGATCACAAGACAGCCTCCGACCTACTACTCCTCGCAGCCCCTGTAGAGGTCTGGGCACAGTGCTGATCTGCAGATATGGGAGCAACCAGGGGGTTGGGCAGGGTCTCCGAGACCGCTCCTCTCTCACCCTCCCTACTCTCAAAGAGAATGTGCATTCTCTTTGCACATTAGCAGGGGCCGCATTAGCAGGGACCAGGTGCAGGACCGGACTGCGAGGGGTTTCACAGTCTGCCACAGGGCGCGTGCCCGTGCTCCCTGAAGCAGGGGTTTATCAGGTCCCTGTCCCAGCCCCTGAAGGTGAGACGTGTTCATAACACCTGAGCTCTGAAACTCAGGTGACCTTTGAAAATCCAGCCTGGGTCAGATGGGCTCCAGACCACATCCACCGCATTCATCCAGAGATTTCCGAACTTCAGACAGGCAGCAGGCAAACGGGCAAAGGTGTCAGCAATTAACATGCCCCAAGTCACCTTTTCCTCTGTCCTGAACTTGATCTACCTTACGCTGAAAGTGAGTGGGTTCTCGGGTGTTTCTCATCTTGCTCCGCATCGGAGCTTTGGCTGTGGGCTGGTTCTCCTTCCTCCTCTCTGCCTGGCCGTCCTGGGAGCCCCAGGGACCTCAGGGACCTCTGTTGCCTGCCTCTCCCTTCACCTTCTTTCTGATCCTGAGTCAGGCAACGAGAGTCCCAGTCACCAGGCAGCCAGGGCTGAACTGTCTAAGGAAGTACAGCTTGTCCTTCCTTCCGTCCTTACAAACTCTCTCCAGTGGACCCTGACTGGTTTGTTTTGTAAACTCCAGCCCTTGGGGGGCCTCCAGATTTCTGTGGTCAGGGAGGGAGAGTGGAGAGCCAAAGTGCTTGGTGGGCTGGAAGGCTACCCAGTCTGCAAAGGGATCCATCTTGGTAGCTTTGGTCCAAAGCCAAACATCCCACCAGCCTGGTGTCTGTCTGCCTCTCGGAGCAAACCAGAGCTCCAGAACCTCCGTCGGTGTGGACAGCTCGTAAACACAGCGCACAGCAGTCTTCCGGATGGAACGGAATTGCTGGAACGCCGCTAAGGAGCACCTCCTCAGAAACTAAAGGGAAATGTGTGGTTGTTCCTGGGTGATCAGAAAGATGATTGCATTCCAGAATTTTCTTCTGATTAAAGAAAATCCAGCAACCTACACAGAGTTTTTAGGCTGTCAGTGGTCTGGGTTTTAGCTCTGTAGCAAAATGGTTAAAAACTTGTCTTTGGAATCAGATCTGGGATCAAATCCCAGCTTTGCTCCTTAACATCATTTAACTCTCTAGGCCTCAATTTCTCCATCTACAAAGTGAGGATGATTTCACAGCCAACCCATGAGGCTGTTACAAGGATTGATTGGGAGAAACTACATTAAGCACAGAATATAGAGCATCTGACATAAAGGAAACAATAAATGTTAACTTGTTACTATTATTATACTAGCAATTATGAGGATGGGTGAAAGTCAGATAAGGTAATTAAGACAGACAAATGATATAGCATTTATAGAGCTGGGTCCTTACTTCAAAATAAAAATTAAATTTCTTTTTATTTTGCTTACACTTCAACGTGTTCCACTCATTTGCTTGTTCACAGGCCCACGGACTAGAGACACAGAGCACAGCAGCACAGAGTTCGGGGAACAGACTGTGCTCGGAGCCCTTTCTTCCGCTTCCTGAGACATTTGGGCAAATGACTTAGTCTCTCTGAACCTCACTTTACTCCTCTATAGAATGGGACAATAATTAAGTTGCAGGATTGTGCTGAGGATTTTAAAAGCCTCATCTCATCCCCCTCTCCCAGGGGCTGGCAGCCCTTCCCGTGTGCACAGACAACTCTCTTGGCTCGCCCTTGGGAGCCTTTGTCACGTGGGACCGCAGAGCCGCCCCTGCTGTAGTTGGCAAGGTTGTTTGAAGTGAGTCTATTGTGGTTGTTTTTCACTGTCTAGTATTGAGAGCTGTCCTTGGCTATAGCTGGCATGCAGTACAGGCTTGCTAGCTGAATAAGTGGAAGAATAATTGAAAATGACAGAAAAATCGAGTGGGTAGGAAGAGGAAACTCCTTTGCCACACATACACCAGGGAGCAACCTTAGCAGCTGCACCAGAAGCTGTGTTGTTTGCTGAGATCTACTCACTGTAGTAGATGTGATTTGCCTTGTGTTTTGTCCTATAAGTGGTGTCACAATGTCCCACCGTATTCTGATGTCCTGGGCCTGGGCCTGGGCCTGGGTTGCAGGCTCTGTCCCTGGTCAGTTTGGTGTTTGCAAGAGGCAAACCAATCAATGTTTCTCTCTCACACTGATGTTTCTCTCCCTCCCCTTCCCCTTTCTTTCCCCTCTCTCTAAAAATCAATCCATCCATCCATCCCATGGCTAGCCCAACTGTATGATTGTGCTGCTAGATATTTGCTGCTTCTCCTCTGGGTCATCAGCATGTCATGCCCCCTTGGCAGCAGGCACAAAGTGCCCTTGTTGGGGAATGAACAGCCGCCCAAGTGAAAAATCATTAAGTCTTTACTCACACCCCTAAGGTTCAGGTTGCAACATGAACGTTGGCAAAGAACCATAAGGCTAATTGTTCAGAGATGCCTCCACAGTATCCCCACTTGGAAGAGACAAGCCCATTAGTCTTACTTACCCTGAAAACACTGTTCACCCCACATCACGGTAGGCTGGACACTGGTGAAAATGAAGGCAGGCCCCTGTCAGCTGAACTAATGTGTTTTGGATTTTTTGTGGGGGGAGCCTAGTTTACTAAATTCAGTGACCTCAAAAATTAGGAACGATAGATCCTGCAATGTTATAAATGCAGCTATGCGTTTTTGTCCTTTCTTCAACTATATTAGAACATTTAAGACACATCAAAGGGTTGCAGAATTACCTAGTAAACTCAGAATCACCCGTGGTGTGAAGGCTGCATTCAAATTTGTAGCCCAGTAACCAAGGTCAAATACATTAAGCCGTGAGAGAGGCTCGTAGCTCCACTTTGCTGTACTTTGCAGCGCAAGGAAAATATTCCAGGCCTGAAATCTGGGAACAGGCCCAGTACTTCTTGAGGCAAAGGCCAGAGCACAGAGTTGTTTTCACAGCCCTGTTTCAATTCATGCCCTTTCTGGCTTGATGAATCAGTCCACACCCAAATCTCTAGCTCTTAAGGTCCAAGAATAGAACCAGAGATGTGAACCGCCCTCATTCTGGAAAAAGATAGGAGTGCCGCAAAGGCAGGGGCCTCTGCCCAGGTGGCATACCTCTCCCACCAGCTCAAACAAACACAGAACCTGTCTATTCTTGCAGCGACCTAAACGGATAATCCAGAATTTACATACATATAATATTTTCGCTTCTCTGTGATACACTCACCTGTTAGTAACAAAATAAGAAGCCACCATGAACAGCATTAGCTGGCTTTCAGATGAACTCACTGAAATATAGAACCCTGAAAGTACAGGCAGATTCCTGTCAATAAGGAGAAGAAGCAAGAAATACTGGGACCCCAACAGTTTCTTCCCCTCAGTTTAGCTTTGTCTAATGCCATCACCAGTTTCTCAGTCATTTAATATCCTGAAACTTGGAGGAGACTCTTGGACTCACTCCTTTTTTGTCTCCTTTGCCCCATTGTTCATCCATTTCTGGGCTTTATGTCCCTGAAATGTCTCAGGTCCTTCTTTCTTCTGTTCTCAGGTAGGGCAGGTGGTCCGTAACCACACATTTATTACAGCTCTTACTCTAGGCTTCCCCCTCCCCACCTGCTTGGCACATCCTCACAGATATCTCTGCAATGCCATGTCCTTGGGGACATCCTTCAGTGCAGACACACAGAATGGCAGCCTCCCCCAACCCCCCACTTCCAACAGCAATCAATATCCCACTGTAATTCCAGATTCCTCCATTAGGCCTTTACCTCCTGGACGGCCAGGCTGGTCTTGCTGAACTCCCATTGTTAGCCGGCACCATGTGTAACATGGAGTGGCCAGGGAGTAAATTCACACCAAATGAACCGACGCACCTTGAAGCCCACAGAACAGCTCATATCGCCATTTGGTTTATAAGCACTGGAATGGAGTAGTTAATGAGTGGTAAAAGTGTTTTGCTTTTATACAGGTGAGAGCATAAGAAGGGTATTTTGATGCATCAGTGCTTTGCCTGATCTTGCAAGGTCTTGAGATCCTTCGGTAGTAGGCATGAGACAGGCATGGGCAGAATAGGAACAACAGGCCTGGTATGGAATGCCACCAGAGCGGAAAGCCCCGCGTACCTAGCAATGGGCAACACTGGGAAAACAAGGACCTCACCCCCAGGATGACCTTTCATCCCCTAGCAGCGAGAAGGAAAAACAGCTGGAGAACAGCCTCATATGACTCCCATATAAGCCCCTGCATGTCCACTGCCTTAAGTATTAAGCCCTCAAGACACTGAGGTTCTGACCCGCATCAAATGATCTTAGGAGCAAAGCCTCCAGTCTGCCGACCACAGACAGCCACAGAGTTCTGGTCAAACCAGAGATAAGATCTAGGCCTCAGCTGTGTTTCAGCTCCAGGCCCAAAAAAGCAGCCAAACCAGATGAGTAATGCCATGCGTGGCTGACATCCGGACCAGATGCAATGACCAATGACCCTGTGCCCTGGTCAGTGGAGACCCTGCAGGGACACATCTGGGAAGCTGATGAATGTTCTATTGAGAACCTCCTCTGAGACCTCCCAATAAAAACCCTCAAGACAAAGGGCTCAGTGCATGCTCTTCCTCTCTCTTGAGCGACCCCACCCCCTTCTTTCCCCAAGGGGCAAGACGCGTCTCTCTGGAGCACACCGCGGCTTTCTTCTTCTCCCTCCAGTCTTGTCCTCTCTGCACTCCTCTTTCCTAAGCTCCAACGGCCCTTCTTTTGCTTTTGTAACTTGTTTTCTGAGCCCACGCAGCCCAGCTGGCTCACCTTTTCTACCTCTGTGACCTTCTAGATAAACTTTCTCTTATAAATTGAGTTTCTTGGCTCTGAATTCTTTCTTTGCTGAACTCAAGTACCAAGGTTGCTGAAATGAGGTCCAGTTACATTCTGGTGCTGTTTCACTGCTCACACTTCTTGAGTGCAAAACAATGAAACACAATTATTTTATGAGAACTTATAAGTAGTAACACAGACTCAGAGGCATTGATGTAAAACTTTCTTAAAGTTTGCCACGCATAAATTTGAGGTTATGATGAATACCCTGTCTCATAAGGGCTCGCTGAATTTTGTTTTTGGATCATGTATGTTTACTCAAAAATCAGAAACACTATAAATAAGATCACTTGAAAATATAAAAATAAAAGGACAGGTGGTTTTGAGCAAGCACCTGAGATATCTGGGCCTCCAATTCCTCACCTGTAAAATGAAGAACTGCACAAACCAGGTAATCTCTGTGTTCCCTTCATTTCTGGCATTATTTTACTCTGTATCCAAAAAGTACCCTCTACTCCTTAAACCACAAAATATACTAGTTTGAGCATTTACTTGTAAGCTTTCATAGGCCAGCAAACTTTCCTCATCTCCAGTGTTCTTCTGTGGGATCTTCATAGGGTTAGAAATCTTTCTTTTTGAAAATGAAAAAGGTTGTTTTGTGTAATACCACCCTCCTCCCAACCATTACCATTATGCCATTTTAACAAGCCATTTGAACACCAGAGATTTAATCTGTAGATAAAAGGAAATCTCTATGTTTAATACATTTAGTTTAGTAGAAAAGTAGAAAATTATTGCAGCCATCTCGTTTTTCTCATTCTACCACAGACCAGTGTAAACGTTGTCACAGACTGATGACATCCGCTGTCATGCTGACTCACCACTTGTTTCCCTCTGTGTGAACCAGGAGGCAGTAAACCCAGCTTCTGTCTGTGTAACACAGGGACACCAGGAAACCCACCAGTTCATCATCCCTAAATATGAAATCTAAAATTTCTGCATTGGAAGGTATATTAAATAGAAGCAGGGATATCAGAAAGATATTTGCATTCTTTCTCCCACCTCGCCATCCGTTATCCAAACTGACAGCTGTCACTGGCAGATCTCTGACTCCGAAGGTGGGGGCTGGAACAACAGCAGCTGGCTGCGCTTAAAAATGCTTATTTTCCACCAGCTTCCCTTTACAGACCCGTATCAGTACCTTACACACTCTACAATGAGACATGCATGTGGCTAACTGGGTACATTTGATGTAATACTGATATAATGCTCCATTTCTGCATGTTTAAATAGTCTTCATTATTCAAGGCTCGATGCAAATGTCTCCTCCTCCAGGAAGCCTTCCCCACTTGCCTACCCAGAAGCAATCTGCCTCCTTTTGAACTTCCTCAGTATTGTTTGACTCTATCCTGTTGCACTTTCCAGTTTCTTCCATGTTTGTGTTACAATAAAATATGTACAATCTTATTTCCTTTACTGAATTGTAAAGTCCTTGGAGTCAGGAACTGTCTTTGGACGTCATGTGCAGACAGGCACATTTAGCCAGGTATCCCTCAGGAACCAGACTCTCAGTAAGCACAGGGGAGAATGAAGCAAGGGCAGGAGGAAAAAGGAGGCTGTTACATAAAGGAGCGGCCTTCCTTCAGGGAGAAGTCCTGAAGGAAAAGTCCCTGAAATGAGTCAAAAGCCAAGGGATTAGTCTGAACAAATAAGGAGCAGATAGAGGACAAAGATAGATGGGCCTGGGATCATGTCATCTTTTTTTTTCTTCTCTTTCTTTTTTGTTCATTTTTATTTTTGGAACTATTGCAGATATCCGAATTTCACCTCCATCTGTCCCCTCCTCCCAGGCCCTGCTCTCCCTCCCCTCTGGCCGTCACCACAGTGTTGTCCGTGTCCATGGGTTACATGTGTGTGTTCTTCAACTCATCCCGTCACCTTCTTTCATCCAGTCCCTTCCTCCCCCCGCCCCTCCGACTGCTGTCAGTCTGTGCCATGTATCCATGTCTCTGTTTCTATTTTGTTCGTTTTGTTCATTAGATTCCACATAAGGGTGAGATCATATGGTACTTGTCTTTCTCTGACTGGCTTATTTCACTTAGCTTAATAATCTCCAGGTCCATCCATGCTGTTGCAAAAGGTATGATTTCCTTCCTTCTTATTGCCGCGTAATACTCCATTGAGTAAATAAATGCACCACAGCTTTTTTATCTAATCATCTACTGATGGGCACTTGGGCTGTTTCCAGATCTTGGCTATTGTAAATAACGCTGCTATGAACATAGGACTGCATATATTCTTTCGAATCGGTGTTTTGGGGTTCTAAGGATATATTCCCAGAAGTGGAATCACTGGGTCACAAGGCAGTTTCATTTTTAATTTTTTGAGGAAACGTTCATACCGTTTTCCACAGTGGCTGCACCAGCCTGCATTCCCACCAATAGTACACTAAGGCTTCCTTTTCTCCACAACCTCACCAGCACTTTTTGTTTGTTGATTTATTGATGGAAAACTGTAGGACATTGAAGAAATAAATTGAGGAAGATACAAATAAGTGAAAGCATATACCATGTTCATGCATTGGAAGAATAAACATCATTAAAATGTCCATACTACCTAAAGCAATCTATAGATTCCATGCAATTCCTATTAAAATACCAATGATGTATTTCACAGATCTAGAACAAATATTCCAAAAAATTTACATGGAAACAAAAAGGACCCCAAACAGCCTCAGCAATTTTGAGAAAGAAGAACAAAGTTGGAGGCATCATAATACCTGATACTAAACTATACTACAAGGCTGCTGTGATCAAAACAGCCTGGCACTGGCATAAGAACAGGCATGTAGATCATTGGAATGGAACAGAGAGCCCAGAAGTAAATCCACGCCTGCATGGTCAATTAATACGCGACAAAGGAGGCAAAAACATAAAATGGGGTTAAGACAGTCTCTTCAATAAATGGTGTTGGGAAAATTGGACAGAGACATGCAAAAAAAAATGAAACTAGACCACCAACTTACACCCTACACAAGAATAAACTAAAAATGGATAAAAGACCTAAATGTAAGTCACAATACAAAAAAAAAAAAACATCTTAGAAGAAAGCATAGGCAGTGCAATCTCAGACATCTTTCAAAGCCATAGTTTTGCCAATATGTCTCCTAGGGCAATGGCAATAAAGGAAAAAATAAACAAATGGGACCACATCAAACTAAAAAGCTTCTGCATGAAAAGGAAACCATCAACAAAATGAAAAGGGAACCCACTATGTAGGAGAACTTATTTGCCAGTGATACATCTGCCAAAATAACCTGCCAAAATAACAATGTATGTAAGGGGTTAATCTCCAAAACGTACAAAGAACTTACACAGCTCAACACCAGGAGGATAAACAATCCCATTTAAAAAGGGCAAAGGATCATATTATCTTTATGGGTGATACCTGACTTCACAGCCTGACTTTCCTTTCCTCACCTGTTGCTCTCCCGATCCAGCTGAACGGTTCACTCACTATCCTTAGAGAAGTCAGAGCAGGCATAGGCCACAACCACAGGCAGGCTCACGTTCTCAGAAGCAAACTAACTTACTGTAATTTCTTTCTTAGAACGTGAGCATGGTCTCTCTGAGAGCAACCAGATGAGTCAGTGCTGAAATTTCTCCACTGCAAGTGAGCAGATTTGGTCCTACAACTAAATCACCAAAATATCTTGTTCAACCAAATTTTTTCTTCAAGAAACCGACACCGGGGCTCACTATGCCAGAGTGTTTCACCCTCACCCAGGACACTGTCCTGACAAAATAGCCTGAGTCAGCAGGGGCAGGGGGCAGAACCTTCTGCCTCTGATTGGTTGAAAGGTCATGTCACCCACATGCTGTCTATCCGACCATCCTTCCCAACTTAGATATTATTTTCACTGGACGTTGGGTTGGTCTCGACCATTGAGCCCCATCAGTACAGATCTGGTTTCCCATGACCAGGCTGTCTTCCTGGAGCCAGCACCTCAGAATGGAACCCTTCAGCTTTCCACGTGCCAAGGCTGCTTTTCTGCATGGTTCCTCAATCCTTGATAAACACAATCTACCTTCCAGGTTCAGGAATCCGCATGACCTTTCTACCACCCGGCCCCAAGGGCTCTTTCTTTCCTGGGCCAGCTCAGATGCTGGCATTTCCTCCCGTCTTTGCTGCGAACTCCAGGGATGAAGCCGGAGTTATCCCTTCATCCAAGGGTTGCCACCAAAGTCAAATTAAGTTGAAAAAAAAAAAAACCCCTCAGTTAGTCTTTTAGGAACTCCATTAATATGCTAGTGGTAAGTTTAGTCAACAACTTTTGTTGACTAGAGAACTTCAACCTCAACCTATAAATTTTTGAGGTACATTTTTTCCAGGAAATTATGTTAATCATTTATCACATATTATAACTATACTCCCAGTCCAGAGGTTAATCTATGCAGGGTGAGATTTAATTGTAAATCCAAATGAGTTCTATTCGAGATAACAGTGCAGTGCCTACCAGGCACTTTACACAAGAGCCAACTCTTTTGTATTCCCTGTGAATCACGGGAGAAAATGAAACCAGATGAGCAAGGAACACTTTCAAGGTCCCAGGAAATGAGGGCGGAGATTAGATTTGCAAAGTTGAGAGAAAGGTTTGAGCTGAGATCCCAGGGGTGCCGGTCCTCGGTCCTCGGAGTTGATGAGTCATCCCACAAAGGTGCTGATTAATAAACAGTGAGAATTGGCAACATACAGGACAAAAATTAGGACTTGGTGATAAATTCAGAATAGAGAAGGAAAGGAAAAATCACATTTGGATTCCATCAATATCTACTGAGCAGTTGCTATATTCCTGCTTGTGTGCTTGGGAGCGTACACATGTTCACTGTGGTCTTCAGAATAACCCAGCAGAGATAAGTTTGATAAGAAATATTGATGAAAATGGGCACTGTTTTTGTACGTGGTGTCCCAAAATTGTTCATGTGGCTGCACTGAGACACAGGTTATGCTTCTGTCGCGGTCATTTTATTACAGTGGTGACAGTGAGACTTGTAACATTTTTTGCTAGGCTCAGTGAGTAACTGAGCCTAGCAAAAAAACTGGATATAATAAGACTTTTCAATCTTCAAAATAATTAATGAATAATATACTCACATCACCTGCTAAAATAACAATGTACTTGTTATTATTTAACTTCTCGGAGGAAGAAAAGAAAGATTGAGAGAATGATCAAGCAGAATTTGAGTCTGAGTGTCCTGACTCCCAGTCCTGTGTCCTCTTCATGACATCGTGGATCCAGAGATGAGGTGCATCCAGAAATGGCACATTTGGGAGGAGTGGCCCACAAAGGGGAAATCTGCTGAGTTTGATTTGGGTCCCACAAATGTGAACTATGGTGGGACATCCGACTGGGGACATTCTGTACTGACCTGGCTCACAGTCTCTTTCCATCCCAGTGCATGAGGACGCAGCCCCTCCACAGAGCCTGTGACCTCCGGCGTCACCTGCAGTGTGCTTCTCCTTCTGGGTCACACTGTCCTGCCATCGAGGGAAACTGATTCACCTGGCGCCCACCTTCCTGTCCACAACGCCCAGCCGCCCGGGTCTCCGGTTCTCTCCTTCCCCTTACGTCATTCACCTTTGATGTCTTAGAAACATCAGCCCCTCTATCTTTTTACTTTCTTCCAATATTTTTATTAGTTCTTCCAGGTTTCCCCACCTCCCCCAGTGCCCCTAGACTCCTTGGCTGACCTTCCAAGTCCTGCTCTTACCGGCACCTTTGGTCCCCTCGCGCCCCACACTCTGTGGCATCTCTCCAACAACACCCCAGGCCTGGCTCAGTGTTATCATCCATCCTCACGCTCACTTAGTTGCCAGAGAAAACGTTGTCAGCCTCGTAGAGAACACTTACAAATCCGTGATCTCCCACCTCGCTGAGGCCCTCGGCACCTCCCTCAGTCCTTTCCTTCGGGGTCCCTCTCTTTTGCCTCCTGTATCACGGAGAAAAGCTTGAGATCATCCTACACACTCTCCCCATCACCCCCTGATATGTAACAGTACTGACACCCTCCCACAGTGGGAAATCAGCGTCCCTTCCACCCAAGGCCAGGCCCCGCCGTCCTCTGCCTGTTCAGGGCTCTGCTCCTTCATGGCAAATAGGCCGTCTCTCCTCCTCCCCAGGCTCCTCTTTCAACCTCTGAATGTGCTCCAGCCCCTCCTCCCAGACCTCCCTGCCCCTGAGCCCTTGCCCGACTTATTCTCTGCTTATCCGGACTTCTCAGAACAGACTCAGTCTCTGCTTCCTCGCCTCACACTTGCCCCTCAGCCCGCTGCAGTCTGCCTCCCCACCAGCTAGTGAAACTATGCTCCTAAGACCTTAAATGCCCTGCTAAAGGACATGCACAATTCTTACCTTCCTGGACCTCTCTGCTCTATTTGTACTTTTAATTGTGGTAAAATAGGCACCACATAAAAAGTAGTGTTTGTAGTTCAATAGTGTTAAGCATATTCACGTTGCTGTGCAACCACGTTACAGAACGGAGCCTTGGTGCCCATGGAGCGGCTCCCCACGCCCCTCAGCACCGCAACCAGCATTCCACTTTCTGTCTCTAGGAGTCTGACCGCTCTGGAAACCTTCTACAAGGGAAGTGATACAGTAGCCATCTTTGTGTGACTGGCGTGTTTCACCTAGCGCAATGTCTTCGAGGTTCGTCCACGTTGTGGCCCGAGTCAGAATTTCCTTTTTTTAAGGCTGAGTAATATTTTTTTTGTGTGTATATACCACATTTTTGTTTATCCATTTGTCTGTCGATGGCCATCGGGGTTGCTTCCACCTTTGGCTATTGTGAACAGTGCTGCCCTTTGCGACCCTGCTTTCAGCTCTGTTGGACCCTCACCCAGAAGCGGCACTGCTGGGTAACACCACCCGCTCAGTTTTCCGCGGTCTGTCGTCTCCTCCTTCTCTGCTCTCTGCTCCACTGGTCCCTGAGGCGCTGTCCTCGCTTTCACTCCCAGCTCTCAGTGCCCCTCCTTCCCTGCCTCCCTCTGTCAGCCCTGGGGGTCTGCTTCAGTCAAGGTCCAACCAGAAAGACAGGAACTGCCTTTTTTGTTTGTTCTCTTTTTTACATTATTGATTTGAGAGAGAGAGAGTGAGAGAGAGAGACATCAGTTTGTTGTTCTGCTTATTGATTTGTTCATTCATTGGTTGCTTCTTCTATGTGCCCGGACCAGGGATTGAACCTACAACCTTGGTGTTTGGAGGTGATGCTTTAACCAACTGAACTACCTGGCCAGGACAGAAACGACCTTTCAAAGAAAGGATGTCTGATGCAAAGAGGTGGTTATACCAACATTGGAAAACTGAAAAAATATGAAAGGGAACGTTGCGGTAGCTCAGGTCAATAACCACAGGAAGCCATTCCCACCCCAGGGCTCGGGAACAAAGGAAGAGTGAGATCTAGGGAGTGACAGGTTCTCAGAGAGCCCCTCCCCCTCTGCACAGCTGCTACTTGGACCCCCACCCCTCACCCAGGGTGCTCAGCTGGCTGGTGCTGGTGGCTCTGAGGGAGGTACCTAGGCCGGTGCTGCCAGGGAATGCAGAAGGTCAACACTGGCGCTGTGGCATCTTCTGTGGCTCGAGTGACAATCTTAACAATTAGAAGCAGAAAGAAAGTCCATTCTGCCTTCTTCATGCCTTCCCGTCTCTCTTAAGTGGCTCTAGTTGGCAGATGCCAGCAGGAATCCGGGTGGTAAAGGAGAGATAGGAAAGCAGCTTGCAAACCCGGCCATATTCTCAAAGGGCAGGGCCCACCTGGAAGGGTGGGCTCGGTGCTGAGAGACACTGTGCAAGTGACCCACGCAGGACTCTGTCCTGGGTCCACTATTTTCCCTGAACACGCGCTCTGGGAGTGGCCTCAGTTTTCTAGGAGTAAACCCTCATGGCTCTGACCACGACCTACGTCTGTGACATCCACAGCCACCCATCCCATGCGGACCTCTCATCCGAACTTCAGGTGCACTTTTTTCTTCAGCTGCCTGCTAGAAACCTCCACCCTGGTGGCCCTTGAATTAAACAAGCTTCGAAGCGCACCTGTCATCTTTCCTTTTCAAACTGCTTCTACTGCTCCGTGCTCTGTCTCAGCTGGTGGCTTCAGCTACGCCGATTAGCTAATCTAGAAGCCTGGATGTCTCCTCATTTCACTGGCTCCTTCACCTCCCAAATTGCTCTCCAGTGTCCCCTCCCCTTGCTCCATCAGTGGAGCCCCGATATAGGCCTTTATGCAGTTCCCCCGTATACCCCACAGCCTCCTCAGTGTTCTCTTGGACTTTCTTCTTGGCCCCCTTAAACTCACACAGCTGCCCAAGGGACCTCCTCAAAATCCAGAAATGGCCATGTCCCTCCCTTGCTTGAATAAACCCTTTAGTAGCTTCCTCCTGTCGTTCCCTCCTCTGGCCCTGCCTCCTCTCCAGGTTCATCCCTTGCCCCTCCCTGCCTGTCCCCAGCTCCAGCAATTCTGAATTGCTTGAGCTATGTTACTTCTCACATTCTGTCCCCTCTGACTGGAAAACCTTTCTGTCTTCACACCCACTCTGAGTTAACCCTACTCATCCTTTAAGACTCAGGTCCGATGCCTCCCCCTCAACAGCTTCTCAACACTCAGATAACAGATCCTCACATCACAAGGTAGGACAAGGGGCAAGGCGTGCAGAGCCGTACCTCCAGCCCTCAAGCCACTGGTCTCCAGGCTACTCCACCACCACGGTCACAGCCACAGCCACCCCTGGACTCCCTGTAGTCAGTCCTGCAGCCTGAACACACACCACTCTACCCCCAATGGCACTTCTCAATCGCTGTTCCTCTACCTTCTTCTAAAAGCAGCTTCTGAGATTTCCTATTTACACCCCTCCCTCACCACCGACATCCAATCACCAGGCCCCGCAGAGTCTCCCTCCTCACATTTCTCAAGTCTTTCCACTTCTCCCATCTCTATGGTGCCCCAAGACCAAGCCATCCTTAACTTTCATCTAGAGGATTGCAGTAGCTCTCTCCTCACCGGCTCCTGCCCATTCTCCAAGCTGTCATCTCCCTGTAGCCAAACTGACCTTTTCTGGGTGGAAGTACAATCTTGTTGACCACCTGTTTAAAAACTGTTGGACGGTTGGTCTTTGTTTTTAAGATAAAGGCTAAATTATTTAATTACAAGGCTCTGTAAATCACCTTTTGCCTATCCCCTCTCACCTCCCTATCTTAGCACCAATCAGACAGGCCCTGGTTAACTCCTCCATCCTCTGAGTCACGGTCTTTCCTCACCTGGTCCACTCTCATTGCAGCTTCGGAGCTCGGCTTCCGCGACATTTCTTTTTTTTTTTTTAAGATTTTATTTATTTATTTATTTTTAGAGAGGGAAGGGAGGGAGAGAGAGAAAGAGAGAGAGACATCAATGTGAGGTTGCTGGGGGCCATGGCCTGCAACCCAGGCATGTACCCTGACTGGGAATCGAACCTGCAACACTTTGGTTCGCAGCCCTCGCTCAATCCACTGAGCTATGCCAGCCAGGGCCAGTGACATTTCTTTAAGAAAGCCTTCAGTGATTCCCAGTCCCCATGAGATCTCTCTATTTATTACACCCTGTCTGGCACTTTGTGCGAATGTCTTTGTGGCACGTACCACAATTATAAAACTGTGTGACTCATTTAATGCCTGTTTCTCCCGTGCAGTAGACTGTAAGCTCCGTGGAGGCAAGAACAAGGCCCCTCTAGGCACTCTTACAGTCTTAGAGCCTGGCTTAAAACTAGTACATAATAATAGGTCCTCGCTACTGTTTGTTGCATGAACATTAATTAATGTTTGTTGAATTAAAGTTAATGAGTTTCCCCACTCCCAACCCAGATCAGTTTGGTGTCTCTTCTCTACAGCCCCATAATGCATTGCAGTTCTCACCTCTGTTGTTGCACTGACTTAATCGTTTGTAGAAGCATCTGCCTCCCACCACTCTTCACTCCTTTACCTGCAGCCTCTCCACCACCCGAACATTCCTTGAGTGCAGTATGTTGTGCCAGT